TTCGGCGTGATGAAGCTAGACCAGTGAGCTATTACGCTTTCTTCAAAGGATGGCTGCTTCCAAGCCCACCTCCTGGTTCGGCGTTTATCTGGGTATAGTCTGCCATGGCACAGGAGGAGGAGGAGGAGGAGGTTGACGAGGTCCTCACTGCTCGTGGAGAATTTTTTTTGTTTTTATTTTTTATTTTTTTTTGAACAAGTGCTCCAGTCTATTCGTGGGGAGCAGCACGTGCTGGGAACCGGGCCCAGCGTCCCATATCGAATTATACAGATCAACTGCTCGTGGAGACTATAAGAGAGTATTTGGTCAACAGAAGCATGGTTCACACACTGTATCTAGAATAGTACACATCACCTCAACAACTTTGTGTCCCGCAATTCGGAGGAGATGTGCAAATTGCTGCACTCCTGTGCCTGGAGGCTCACAAGAGTGTTTTCCTTCGCCTTGGAAGCCTTGAGTGACTTCATAGAGCTGCCGTCTATCTCTCCCCGAGTGCCACCATTGTGAAATATTATATATAGTGATGTGACAATATATACACTATACACTATTATACAGTACCTTTATTGTAATTAGGCTAGCATTCATTGGATTTGCAGTCCAATGGTTCTTGCTCCAGTACACAGCATACTATATGTACCTGGAGCTCTAAATCGTCCCGAGATATTCACAATGTTGGACTCCTCGGAATGCATCTGGTCCAGAAAGGCATCAAAATACGTGTAGAGTTTTTGAGTAGTGGAGCAAGGCCCAATACATTACCTTTATGTTATTTTGCCAAGCATTTGATCACAGCACTTCCTGTTTGTCTGTGCCGATCCAAGCCAATCCAACCCAATCCTATTCGATCCAAGTGAACTCGATTCAATCCAATCCGCTCCCTTCAATGATCCAATCAGATAAGATCCAGTTTTGATTGGAGAAGATCCAGGGCTGCTTGGATAAGATCCATTTCGATCCGATTCTTTTTTCTTCTTTTTTTTTGATAGTTCGATCGAATCCATTTGGATGATTGGATCCAATCCAATCTGATCCAAAGTCATGACCTTATCCCACGGACCCAACTCAACCCGATCCATCACAATCCAGTCCAATCCAATCCAATCCTATTCGATCCAATCCCATCTGATCCATTTGATGATCCAATCTGTGATTCTTTTGATCATCCAGTCGGCTAAGATCCAGTTCTGATTGAAGGTCCAGTTTGTGCTCGGATAGGATCCGGTTTGATCCGATCCATTCAGATGATGTGATCGTACACAATACGATGTGACCGGATTTTATCCAATCTGGTCCAAACCCGAGATGATCTGAGCTTATCCAATGCAACTCAATCCACTACAATTCAATCCAAACCTAATTCGACCCAATCCGACCCAATCCGTTAACCAGCCTGGAAATTGAACCAGGAATGTGGTGGCCGTTGGGAGTCGCGCCCCCCTAGTGTGAAGTTGTGGATATTGTGGAGTGGGCCAGTGCGCCGTCGTGGTTCGAGGTCATGTGCTCGATGGAGCTACTGTCTTCCCCCGAACACAATGCAACTCCATTTCGGCTGTGCCTGACCGGAAGTATAGCTTGTATACATTCATTATCAAGGTGCGTTATGTTCGGGGGAAGACAGTAGTGTG